AGGGTTTAGGGTTTAGGGGTACAAGGATCAGGGTGCGGGCTTCGCAGCGTGGATTTCACAACCCTCCTGCTTTCGCACGAGTCATCGTTTCCAACCCTCACGGATGGCTCTGCCAGTCCAAGCGGGGTTTAGGGTTTAGGGTTTTAGGGTTTCAAAGAATAATGATCAGGCATAGATGAGGAGCTGTGCTAGCTGAGATCCTGAGGCACGAGAACCGTGAAAAAACACTCCGTTTCCGCAGAGCGCTGATCTCGCAGGGTTTGGGGGTTTAGGGATTCAGGGCTCTAGGGGTTCAAAGGGTTGGGGTGTACGGTTCAGGGTTTAGGGTTCAGGGTTTGGGGCTAAACCCTCAACCGCCCTAAACCCTAAACCCTAAAGCCTATTTCCTATGTATTGAGAAGCGTCCGAGACCGGAGAGCAGCTCGAGGCCGGAAGAGATGTCCGAGGAGGAATGTAGCTGGTGGCCTCTGGACATGTTTAATTAACCCCTAAACCCTAAACCCTAAACCCTGAACCCTAAACCCTAAACCCTAAACCCTAAACCAGTTAGGGTCTGGGGTTAGGGTTTGGCGACTTTTCGGGGGGTGAAGGTTTGGGAGTCGGATTGGGGTTGAAGTAATAAGAGTACTACGGTCTTCGGGCTTGCATTTTTTGGGTCTAGGGTTTAGGGTTTAGGGTTTAGGGTTTAGGGTTTGGGGTGTATGGAATATGGGCCCAAGCACCTGGAACAAGTCTCTGGGTCAATCATACACCATCCGAATGCCAGATTCAGCGTTGAACAGCGTCATCGAGCGTAGGTATCAGGGTCTATTGGGGGTTCCATGCGTGCGCTACGGAACGACTCGCGGTGAACCCTAAACCCTAAACCCTAAACCCTAAATGGATTATTCATGAGGGCACCTATCTCCAAGCCAGGCGCGAGATCCCAACACGAAGGCATAAGAAAGCCTTGCCAGGGCAACCCTAAATTTACTAAACCCTAAACCCTAAACCATAGACCCTAAACCCTAAACCATAGACCCTAAACCCTAAACCCTAAACCTTGAACCCGTGTGGAGGAAGTCCGTGTGGGATCTGCAAGGGGCCTCCTCCGCTTGCCGTTAGCCGCCTTTCCTGGCAGCCTAGTTCGTCACAAACAGCCGATGTTCGTCAAACGGACGGTGTTGAGGCATCACGGCTCCGGGGTACGTTTCAGGGGTTTCAAACCCTAAACCCCAAACCCTAAACCCCAAACCCTAAACCCTTAACCCTAACCCCTAGGCCCTAAACCCTAGGCTTTAAACCCCCTGTAGAGAACTGCCCATACAGTATAGTCCAGTCCAGTATAGTCTAGTCTAACCCAGTACAGTGGTATTTTCCATAGTGTAGTATAGCATAGTATAGTATAGCATAGTATAGCATAGCATAGCATAGTATAGCATAGCATAGCATAGCATAGCATAGCATAGCATAGCATAGCATAGCATAGTATAGTCAAGTCTGGTCTTGTCTAGTCTAGTATAGTATAGCATAGTACAGTATAGTACAGTATTGTACAGCATAGTACAGTATAGTACAGTATAGTTTAGTCTAGTCTAGTCTAGCCTAGCCTAGTATAGTATAGTATAGTATAGTATAGTACAGCACAGTATAGTAAAGTATTACCAAACAGCAAAAGATCATAGATTACATGCCCTAAAAGATACCCCTCTAGTTTTCATTCACTGCACTGAGCCGAGGCTGAGCGATGACCTCTCTCAAATTACCGGTGGCACTACAAGGCAGCTCAGGGTTTCGTGTTTAGAAAAAAGGGCGGTTTAGGGTTTAGGGTTTAGGGTTCCTTAATAATTACCGAAATTATTTTGCGGATTCCATGTTATACTTAGAGTATACTGGACCCCAAAACCCCATTCTAATTATTAAGGCCCCAAAAGTAGGGTTCAGGGCTTTGGGTTTTGGCCTGGCCTCGTTCTAACCGTTAGAGCTCGGGGTTTAGGATTTCGGGATCGATGTTGGAGTGAGAGGGACATATGGTCAACGCTTGAATGCCCAGGCATGCCTTAAAGTATGCATCCATAGACCATAGAGAGATGAGAAGGATTGCCGGTGGCGATGTGTTTTCCTGAGAACAGCAGTAAGTTCACGAGGTGCAACCGAATGCATGTCGTGACCCCAACTTGTACGAGAATAACCTTGACAATCGTACAGAAGCATAGTCTTAGTGCTACTTCTATCGTTATCAGCATGTTTAACAGGGTTGCCATTGTTGGCTGAACTTGTCGTGGCGTGACAAGCCGTCTGGTAGATCTCGCGGCGGTGGCAGTAGGAGCAGGTCTTACCGATGTTATTCCGATTCCGTAGGGTTCCCCTTTTATACTTATAACTTAGTAAACACCCTAAACCCTAAACCCTAAACCCTAAACCCGATTCTAACTATGAAGGCCCTTATAGTATGCAAGCCGGAAAGACTCCCGGTGAGACCGAGAGTAAGAGCCAGATACCAAGTATTAGCATGAACAAGGGTTGAGGGTTTAGGGTTTATAAGGGTTCAGGGTTCAGGGTTTAGGGTTTAGGGTTTAGGGTTTAGGGTTTAGTGTTGAGGGTTTATGGAGTGAGAGCAAGACTACTCACTGCAATGTCAGCCCCAACAGGGAAGATAATTATGTCAACAAGTCGAACAAGACGAAGAACAACAGTACTTATGCCAACAGCGACATGTACAACAATGTCAAACACTAGAGATAGTTTCCTACCTGCCAGTTGTATGAACCATAGTTACATAGTTGCTGTAGTTCCTGCTTTCTTCAGCAAATGCGAAGTGAGTAAAGCGGCTGTGCTTCCGGGTTGGACGTGGGCATAACGTGATCTCTGATGAGAAGAAGCATAATACAGACGTGAGGCTGACAAATAAGATTGCGCCGGAAATCAACCCTAAAGCCTAAAGCCTAAACCCGAAACCCTATCATGCGGAGAAAGAGTCACTGCACTTAAGAAACCTAAACCCTAAACCCTAAAGCATAAATCCAACGCCTACCTACGCTGGCCCAAATCCAAACCCAGGCCGTAGTCTCGAACTCCCCCGCCCTGAGCCCCAAAGTCGTCTGACCTTTGGCACCCCAAACTCTAAACCACCCTAAACCCTAGACCCCTAAACCCGAAATCCCTGAACCCTAACCCCAAACCCTTAAACCCTAAACCCTAAACCCTAAACCCCGAAACCCCGAAACCCTTACACCCCCTAAACCCTTAACCCCTAAACCCCGAACAGGCACTCGGTGAGCAAGGCTCTGCAGGAGAACCAAAAGCGCGGCAGCATGGACTCGATTCTCGGGCCCGGCTTTGTAAGGTTTGAGGCGGTTTAGGGCCTGAGGCTTTGGGTTTAGGGTTCAGGGTTTAGGGTTTTTTGGGGTTTAGGGTTTAGGGCTTAAGGCTTAGGGTTAAGGGTTCTACGCGTGCCCTCCAAACCCACCGCTTTCAAGAGCATAGAAGCAAGTCATCTTTGGAGACCCCAAAAAGGCTGGGCTTAAGGTCACGGTTTAGGGGAAAGGGTGGATTTAGGAATCTAGGTACGAGGGTTTAAGTTAGGGGAAGGCATCTAAGGCGAAGCTTCCTTTGGTGTAGGGTCTGCAGCATTATCCAGATTAGCCTTTGGTCGGTTTTGGTGCCTTCGCCGCACTATTCCAGCAAATAAGCGTCTTGTCTTTCGATTTGAGATCCTCCGAGATTAGATTTGGTTAGTTCTCTAAAATAGGGTCCCTGTTTAGGCCCCCAAAATAGTACGGCACCCTTATAAAAGGACCCGAAAAGGTATTTTAATTCAAAAAAAGCTACCCACTTGGTTTCAACGAGGGGAGTTCCCAGCCTTGTGTTCTGCGATTTAGGGTTTAGGGTTTAGGGTTTAGGGTTTGATATCTCGATCGGTTCTCGGATCAGACATTCGGAGTAGCTGAGCTCCCTGTCACAAACCTGAGACCCCCAACATGCACCCTAAACCCTAAACCCTAAACCCTAAATCCCTAAACCCTAAACCCTAAACCCTAAAGGGTTTTGTGCTTAAACGTATTCGTGAGGAAGCGTCAGCTGTGCACAAATTTTGTGAGGCTCAGACCGTCTGACTCTCGCAGCCTCATGTCCCTGCAAAATACCCTAGGCCCTAAACCTTTCTCTTTCGGGCAAGGTGATGTTACAATCAGGGCTCACATGGGTAGTTTTCTAAATTAGGGTCCCTTTTTAGGTCCCCAATATAGTACGGCACTCTTATAAAAAGGACCTCAAAACGGACCCTAATTTAGAGAACTACCCACATGTAGAACGGGGCATCGGATGAACCTTTGCTGGAAAGCACCCTTTGCGATTCGGACCACCACCCCAAAACCGTAACATGCCGTAACAACTTGACAGCCGCAACCCCAAAAACCGAAACCAGTGTGATGTTGTGGTTAGCTTCAGTTCAACCCTAAAGCCTAAACCCTCCCAAATGCTGAGTTTTGCTGTTGCTGAAGGAAACGTGACTGCATGCGCCAAGTTTCTCACAGGACCTGCAGACGGTTCAGGGTTTAGGGGTTTGGGGGTTTAGGTTTTAGGGTTTAAGAGATGCAGTTGGTTTGGAGATGAGGGTCACGATGACAGGTTGTTGACTGCTGTTGTTCTTGGGATTTGGTTTGTTTTGCGACCTGCTGCTGGACTTTCGCCGGCAAGCAGCGTTTGGTTGTCCAGTTCTCTTGTTTGAAGTAACGTTGCCCTTAACAGATGCTGTTGCTGCCGTTGCTGCGGCTGCTGCCACTGCTGCTGGCTTCTGTTGTTGGTGCTGTTGTTACCTTGTTCTCGTTGTTGTTGTTGATGATGTTGTTGTTGTTGCCGTTGTTGCTGCTGCAGCGGCTGCTGCTGCGACTCTTAAGCATCCTCATGCTGGTACATCAGCGTGGGCTCCCAATTTCATTGCTTTTGTTGCTGCCAGGGCTGGCGCCTCGTCTGTCTTGGTTCACTTAGTCATTAGCATTGGGCTGAGCCCTACCCAAAAGCTCATAGCTTAAGCACGGCACAAGGAAACGCAGAGGCAAATTTAGCTAAATCATGAGCATTCACACATTTAGTCTGGTCTTTTGGGCCGGGCGTGATCGCTGTATTGCGATGCTAGTTCTTCAGTTTAGGGTTATGACCAAAGCAGCAGAACAGATACCATTAAGTTCGTCGCGGTGACAGCCCACAGTCACCACCCTGGCATACAATGCGGCCGAGGGTCATGTTAAGGCGGGGCGGGGGGGGGGGGGGGGGNNGGCGGCGGCCTGACTAAACCAGTAGTACTACCGAAGCGGTCAAACCGTTATAGATAAATAACTTCAGTGTTTGTATGTGTCTACAAATATATAGATGCATAAATTCATGAAAAAAGATTAAATCAATGCATTTAACTCTGGCTACGAATGCAAACTACAAACTATAATATATGTATAATATATGTATCATATAAGTATAATACATGTATAACATATGTATAAAATCATATATGTATAGTATATGTATAATATATGTATAATA